TAAGCACAGTGATATTTAGGAAATCTAAAGCTGCTTTGAACTCTAACCCTACCATAATGATGCCTCAAAATATATGTGCGGATTTGCACAGTGTATATATAATATTCTTTACCCCTGGTAATCTGTTTTTATTTATATATGTATGCATGCAAAAAATGTTGGCATAAACTATTCAATCAAATAGTATTTAGTGATCTTTGATGGACTTCTGAATAATTCTTCCAAAGCAGAGCTAACTAAGCAAGTTAAAACCCAAGGTAGTTAATATAAGAAACCAAATTGTGATGAAATAGTGAGGATCAGAGGGACTTGGCTTCTGAAAATGTGGAAATGTGGATGATGAACAATTATTAGAATGCACATTTCCTCTTAGACGTCTTCAGATTGAGGCTGTGGTGGATCAGAGACAACTGCCCATCTCCATTACTTTCCCAGTCAGATAATGTGGCTTATTTCGCCTGCTTTTTAACCTCAGCTGGCTCTATGACTCTATTTTGACTATTTCATAGTGGCAGAGATGAAAGTTATATGACATCAGAGCTAGGTCATTAGAGCCTGTACCTCCCACCTTCTCTCTTGGAACAACTTCTGAAGCATCCAGGAGTCACTTGTGAATTCAGACGCCCCACGATGCCCCGCCATGAGGAGGGTGAAGTAGTTTTGCGGAGCGTCTGTGTGGAGACACTTGGTCAGCCCCGGCTCCCCTCCTGCTGTGGTACGTGGCTGAGAACATTCCCAGACATTAGTTTGGTTGAGCTTTCAGGTGCATCTAACTCCTGATAGCGACTGTGACTAAGGAGACTTGTGTGAGATGAGTGCAGCTTCCTCCCTCCTTTCCTAGAACTATGAGTGAAGAAAAATGATTAATCCACTAGAATTTGTGGTGATATGTTACAAACTACAGATACTCAAAAAATAGGGTACAGGGAAGTGCATTGCTTGGCCAGTGGGCCCCCAGGGACCATGACTCTTGGTGGTCTTAAGGCTAAGAGGCGCCATATTGGACATTTGAGAGACGTGACGCCTGAAATGGTGCCATGAGGTGAATGAACAATCTTCAAGTTCTGGAGTTTCGCTTTTTTTCTTCTGTTTGCATGCTCATATATTTCGGAAAGTGCAAAAAAAATTTAACCCTTTCCACAATTTTGTTATAAAAAGTAAATTACATTCTTAGTGAAAAGCCAGAAACAAAAAGAAAAATACTGGATGGTTTCATTCATAGCAAGAGTGTAAGTAATCAGAAAAAGAAAAGCGATTGTAATAAAATAAAAATGAGAAAGAAAGAACAACTACAAACCACAGACATCACTACACTGGGCTGTAGTGATGGCACACGGGTGAGTTTGTGATGTGAAGTCTGCGGGATTACACGAAGATGAAAAAAATGCACAAAATGAAGATTTATGTTAAAAAAAAAAACTCAAGTAAAGTAAAAGCATTTGAGCCCCAGTAAAATAATGAATTACCTAAGAATATGATAGGGATGACTGAAATCGACATATGTAAACAACACAGAGACTGTAGTTTGATTAAGAAAGATGGTTTTCACCTTACGGTTGGGATAGTTTGTATTTGTTGCTAATTTTAGATTGTTTATAAGATCATTGCAAAATCTTGTTTTTTTGGTAATAGAAAATGAATTCATGAAAATTATTTTTATTCTTTTTAAGATTTATTCATTTATCTATGCTTATAAAGCTGGGCTGTAGGCCTGCGGTGTGGTGGAAAAATGATTAATGATTAAGACATCTTACCCAACTAACCAAACAAAGAAAACCTCAAGTAAATAAAATTGTCAAAACAAAACTACTTGTTTCTTGATGTTCTCTCCAGGTTTACTTTTATTTTTGCATATGAAATTTTCTATACTAGATATGCTGTGTGTGCACTTTAAAGAAGAAGGCTGAACTCCACTCACCGCTTTGCCTAAGCAGTGCCTACGCATGCAGTTAAGAACGGGCTCTGCTTTTTCAAAATCCTGTTTTTCTACACCTGAACTAAGTTTGCTGTCTTGCGTCTTTTCTCTCTCAGGACATCGTCCCCACTGGTGCTGCCCCGGGGCTGTTTTAAATTCCCAAACTCAATTGCGTTTTGTGACCACCAGAGACCTTTGTCAGCTTCTCCAAGGACTGCTCCAGTCGGTGTCTTCTGCACACCTGTTGCAGGTCAGGGAAACGGAGTCCCC